ATATCGAAGTTTGTAAATGCTTTCCTTTTAGAAAAAAGATGACTGTAGATAACAAGGTTATACAACAAAGTCACTCTCACCTATCTGTATGCTTTCTTGAATGAGAGAGAAAAAGGTGGAGTCTAAACTATCAGCATATGAACATCTTTTGTCATGGCTAAAAGGCTGAATACTACTTTTCTGCAGCAAGAAAAAAGGAGGCCCTGGGTAAAATAGAGCCTAGGCACAAGGCTAAGGATGAGCCTAGACTTGTGGAGGCACTACAGTGTCCCAAAACTGGGGGAAAAAGGAGATTAGGAAATGTTGTGATGCAAAATGAACTAAACAAGAGGCATGGACTTGAAGCTTTAAGGAGGCAGGATTAACCCTCTGCATGAAAAGTGGACATGTTGGGATCCATTACTTATGTTAGCACAGACAGGAAGGCAGCAGAACAGTTATACCAAGTTAAATGCCAGTTCTTGTGGGGAGTAGCTTTATATTTGGGGGTGGAGCTGAATCCCCTTCCCCTCAGTTACTCATGGGAAACCCGTTCCAAGGCCACATAGAAACTGTTCTTGTCATCTAGGCAATGCCAGCCAATGGGTCCAATTTCACAGTCTGCACAGACCAGAAACTTGATGTTGCCCACGTCCTTGGTGAAGCCCACATTCTCAAAGATGAACATGTCATCAACCAGCCAGTGCTCCTGGAGGAGATCACCATCGGGATTGCTGCCATCAGCCAGCGCTGGCTTCTTTCTCATGGAGGGAAGGAACAGCTGCGGTGAAGAGAACACAAAGAACATCAGAGTCGAACTGGTCCAGTCACATCATCACCCCCATCGTGCCTCCACTTTACACCATCACTAGCCAGAACAACTACCGCAGAAAAGACTGCTCTCTCGTTGAGTTGTAGACGAGGACTCTTAAGAGACAGGAAGGATGAGCATCAGCTGGGTACTGTCCTCACCATGGTCTGTAGGGCCCTACACGGTCCTAGTCTCCTTTCTGGCTCCTCATGCTTCAAACACACGGGCCTCTTCCCTTCTGCAAATAGTGTGAGTCTGCTCTGCCCTCAGATCTCGGCCTGGCCAGCTCCTTCTTCGTATTCAGCTCAAATGTAACCTGCTTAGGTCTCCTCTAACCAAACAACCTGAATTAGCTTTCCTTACTTGCCCATTGTATTTTTCAAAAAGAGCTTTATTGAGGTTTAATTGACATACGAACTGCACATATTTAAAGTGTATAGTTTGATAAACTTTGGCACATGTAACGAGATAATGAACATGTAACAGAAGTAAGGGTCTGAAAAAGGGCAAAATGTTTTACGAGTTGTCTCTTTAAAACCCCTCACCCTTTTTGAGGAATTAGAACCTGCATTCCTGCCTGAGACCAGCAATAGAGGGGCAGAGGAGTGTTCTATGTTCTCTAGTATCTTAAACCACAGGAGGTGGCTCGACAGAATTATCCCGACAGAGGTCAGGAGACCACCTTCAACCAGAGATGCCATAGTTAAACAGCAATAGCCCGAAGCTGAAACCCTCCTTTCAAAACCCTGTATTTCTGTTTATGGGGGGATGATGGTTCTTTAAGATGAGAATCTACCATCCTCCTCATTTGCCAGTAAGTTAATAAACTTGTTCCTTTTTCACTCTTCATTTGGCCTCAGGGACAAGTGCCAAACTTCTGGAAACAAACACATTCATTACCTGTAGAAGTTTCTTCATGCTACTCCCACTTGTTTACTTATCATTTATTTTCTGAAATTATCTTATTAATTTATTGGCCTACTTACTTATCATGTGTCTCCCTCCACTAGAATATCAGCTCCTGGAAAGCAGCCAGCTTACTCTTCTTGTTCATTACTACATGTCTAGTGCTTTGGTATAGAGCAGGAACTCAAATACTCATTAAAAGAATGAACAGAGGATATCTGGAGTTGATCTATTCCATCATTATTATGAATATACTGGATTCATCTTATAAAAAGGAAAATCTAGTTGTACAATTTGGAATATTATCCCCAGGATCCTTGCACACTCCAATCTGTATGATTTCCCAATCATTAAGAGAAAGCCTCTGGCGCACACACACACACTTGCTTTAATTTCTTCAATACGGGTAGTGTACACACTTTTAGTTGTCCCAGACTACTACAAAACACAATGCCAGCAAAGCTTGTTACTCCTCTGCTGCTCATCATGGCTGCTGTCATATCACTTATTCCTCACCTCACGATACACTTTTTTGTTTTGTTTTGTTTTAAAAACAGGGTCTCACTCTGTTGCCTAGGCTAGACTGTAGTGGCACAATCAATCAATAGCTCACTGCAACCTCAGACTCCTGGCTCAAATGATCCTCCAGCCTCAGCCTCCAGAGTAGCTAGGAATACAGGTGCTGCCA